TCAAGGGAGATAGCAAAACATTTCCACCTCCCCACCTCTGCAGCCAAGATGCAGACCACAATGGAACCTGTCCTTCTGCACCAGCATTTATTTTTTCATGTGCACAATTCTCATCTGACAGCACTGTAAGAGCTTGGTGCTCTTCAGAGCACCCAAAATGACTTGCTTTACTCCATGTTGGAGTGAAAGAGGAGCACTCAGCATGGCCAGTGAACATGCTGGTGCCAAAGAGGTAATCACTTCCTATAGTACACAAACTTCTAAAAAATACAGTACCACCGGAGACTTAAATTTAAAAATTTAACCTTCTTTTTGCATCACTGCCAATCAGCAACGCCAAACATTGGGGATATTAATGAGAAAACTATTGATTACACATTATATTTTAAAAACTCCTGCAGGACTTCTCTATGTCAGAGAATGCAGTGGGATACTAGAAACAACAACAACAAGCTGATAAAGTCAAGTATGCACAACAGGATGATGGAATTTTACTTATGTGGGAGAGGGGTACCACAGCTCTGAGCTTTCTGTATTCCAGCCTTGTATGTGCTCCTGGTAAACGCTGCAGGACATCTGATGTGCCAATCCTTCACCACAAGTAAGCACAATTAATGTGAAAATCAGGCAGTCCTCCAACCCTCAGAAAATGCAGTTTTGTACCTCTTAAGGAAAACAGAGTTGCAGAGGAAGATGCCAGACCAGGGAGCTCAGACTTTCAGAATTGCCTGGAGATGGAAAGAGCAAGAGATGAAAATATGGCAAAGGGTGGTGCCTCAAAACAGAAAACAACAGGGCTGGAGCACTGCGCAAGACTACAGTCACCAGTCTGGGCTGTCGTGAGAACAATGTAATGAGTGCCTGTGGTCTAAGAGCAGTTCCTGCAGTGAGGACCAGGAAGGTACCACTTCCATGCAATGCGAGGGGGATGCAGCACAGCTGGACATGTGTGCCTTGAAGTAACAGAGCAAACAAGTGAGGCAGAATGTATGTCAGTGATGCTCACTTTACACAAAGATACTGTGATAATTTTCTTAAAGGTGTTTAAATCAGAAGCATAAGAACCCTGAAAAGGTTTTACTTGCACAGAATAGCAGCCATTGTGTCCTTCCTTTGCTCTTGAAAAAAAGTTCTAGTCATTCTAAAGCAAAAGCAATCATTTCTTCGATTGCAGTTCAGGAACAGGTATGTTGCATGGGTCAAAGTATGTGTTTGATTTTCTTTCATGTGTCAGATCTGGCATTGTTTGACCCCTTGCAAAGGTGATTCAGCCCACATTGCCAGGAGAAAATAAGCCCTTTTTTTAGAATTGTTCTTTTGGCATTATTTTGGGGGGGTTTGTTACAGTTTTTGCTGGCTTGAGCCTGCTAAGCAAACAGATGAGCACAAGAACTAGCATGAGATAATCAGTGGCAGTGTGTGTCTGGGACCATCTCTTTTGGCAGAAGCAAGATGTTAAATGAGCTCAGTTGCCTCATGACACCTCACTGAACACAAAACAGCAAGTGACAGGCTTTCCAAAAAGCTATTTGTTTCTCCAGGAATTCAAAACCAAGCTTCTTCCAGCAGCTGTTGGGAAAGACCAGATTTGCATAGCAACACAGGCAGTATTTGTACAGGGCCTTTTTGTGAAGGATGAGATTAAACCTCTGGTACACAGGAGGGATGAAAGCTTTCTCCTCTCAGAAGCATCAGAGACAAGACTGTTTATTAACCTTAAGAAGCTATTTTCTTCCTAACAACAGTCTTGGATTTATTTTCTCATATAACAGGAATTATGGGGTATTTGCCTTTCATGTTTATTTAAGGAACTCTTTTGTAGTATCCCCTACTTCTTTCCCCAAGGAAGCACTTTTAAGACTAAGTAATGTGGCCATGACTTTTTTTTTTTCTTTTTGGTATTTAAATGTATTAACGGCAAAGTCATAAAAATCAGGCTTGTAGCACAGCCAAGCCTGAAGAAAAGTCTGCTCAATAGAGATCACTGTTTCCACAGCAGTTTCCAGAGAAGGAATGTACGTTTCCACATACAACAAGCAGCCTTTTATGTCAGTGAGTCTGAGAAGAGGTCTTGTCCAAGCCAGCTAAATTCAGTTTCTAAAAAACATTTTCTTTTGCTGGAAGGCAGAAGGGCTGGGGTTTCGCCAAGGAAGGTGGCCAGGCTGTGCAGGGCCACGTGGACAAGTGTGGTGCATCCTCCCCACTCCCTCAGTGGGAGGGGTCTGCAGGGAAATGTGTGGTCTTGAACCTTTCCACAATACGTGGGTCTCGGGGGCTTGGACCTGCTTCTGCTCCGAGTAATGCATGGAGGGCAGGAGGATGGGCAATGGACAGGAGAGGAGAGGACCCAGACAAGAAGCATCATGCATTAAAGACAAGAGCACATTAGGGCATCAGTGATCACAAACATCCCAGATAAAAATCAGACTGAAGACAGCAAAGGAAAATGTTTTACATTTTCAGCTTTATTAGCATTTGAATATTGTTGATGAAACACCTATTCTAAAGCCACCTAACTTTTTATTTCCCCCCCCCCCCCCACCATCTTCTCATCTAAAAATGACCAGCAGCCTCAACCTGGAAGGTAAAAATCAGCACAGAGCTTATTAACAAAAGCTGCCATCTCCCACGTGGGTAAACAGATGTGTTTGCCACAGTTGCCCCCAATTATTGCTCTTTCTTTGTGAATTAGCTTGTCTGATGCAAGTATTTTAGTACTCAGTCAAGACATGTATATCCTCAGCAGCATCAGCAGGGCTACAGTAACATGGCTGTGGCTGAAAGGGAAATGATAGACCAGAAGGCAGAAGTAATTAAGCTGTTCAGCAGCTTACATGCTACATTCTGTTTCTGAGGTCAGCCATGGCACGGGTCAACTGCTTTAGGTTAGATAAATTAAAGTTCAGCCTAACTGCCCACAGTGACAAGTTGTTTTCTTGACCAAGTTTAAACACCAACACTTCTCCTGGCCCTGCCCCTGTCACTCATTTGCTTGAAATATTTCATACTTTGACCCCTCAAAAGCACGTCTTCTTTCTTTTAAATATTGTTTTAAATATCTTTTAAAGGAAACTTCAGAAAGTAGCATATCTATTGGATTTTTGGTGGTGTTTTCTCCCTTCCCATCCAACATAGAGAAGAACAGAAAGACTTTCAAGAACACCTGCTTCCCCCAAAAGCATGTCATGACATATTTGACATTTATCAAATCCAAAAAAACCATGATTTGATGTACAAAAGCCCTGAGTTTGCACTACTGTCCCCTCAGTCACCCTGTCCTCATTCACCTCCAGTAAACAAGCACTTAAAAGCTGAAGAAAAAACTAGAAGGGGCAGAACCACTCTCATTTATTCATGGCAGTCAAACAATTTGTAAAAGAGAAGGAGGAGGAGGAGGAAGAGGAAGAGGATGCATTTGTCTGTGACAGCATGAGGCCAGTCTGGGTAAGCACAATGTCACCCAGTTTTTTGGTACAATTCACAAATGTTGTATGTTAACCACTGTTAAATATTCACAAACCCTTCTGTGAGGGTCCCTTGAAATCACTCCCATTTTGCAAATTGTTAGCCCCTAATGGTAGTTTCTCATTAATAAAGGAACAGGAGAAGATCCAGAAACAAGGCAAGAAGGAGATCCAGAAACAAGGCAAGAAGCACAGGAAAAATGCAGAGAATAAGACACATAAGTCAATATATCCGGCTTACTCTTTGCTATCCTTTATTTTAGAGCTCAGTACTTAGCTTGGAATACCCGTCATATTTGATAATTGTTTTGGCTGGTAATAACAATAGATTCACTTGGATTTATTAGACACAGCATACTTTATTTAATACCAGTCTCTGGATTTGTACCAATGCCTGCTGACAGTGCTCTCACACTGTGTCTTTCCAAGCAAGAAATGAGGTCATCATGATTCCTGTAATAAAGTGATAAACATTTTGTGGCAATTTGGAAGAGTTTTTAAAATTCCTAAATGAGGTCCTTTTGGTTTGGGTTTTGTTTGAGGATTTTTTTTCTCTTTTTGTAAATTTGGGTTTTTTCCACTTTGCAATTAGAATTTCCCAGGTGGATGACCAAACTATAAAATCCAGGAAGAAATTCAAGTTCTGCTTTTTTATTCTTTATTATTATTATTATTTATGTTGTTATTATTATCATTATCATTATTAATTTTTTTTTTCCTTACTGAAGTTGAGGTGCATACACAGTTTGTTTCTGAGCAAAATGCTGCCCTTTTCTGGCAAGAAGGGAGTCTTGTTTAATTAAGTGACATTCCAGAAAGTTTGCAATTAGAAAGGATCAAGGTACAAAGAGAACAGCCTGAGGAAATGCTTTTTCAAAGAGGACAGGGCTTGTTGATAATTTTGACAAGGCAAGAGGAATAGCTACAATAACTACATTTATTTTCTTCTAATCTTGGGCTCTTAAAAGGTAGAAAATGCCCTATACTTACAAGAAGACAACAGGAACAAGACCGATCCTTAGGCATAACATTAGATATTGCACCTGGACTACTGGAATCACTGACTCCAGAGGGCACAGCAGTTTGGGTACCACCTCAAGTATCTAAATTAAAATCTCACCTACCTCTACCTGTAAAAGGACCATAAAGTGCATTTCTGGAAGGATCTCCAGGCAGAAATGGAAATGTTTCAGCATGTGCAATTGCAGAACTTGTGGCTGAACAACTCCACTGCAGAAAAGTGCAGGGATTCCCTCCACCAATGCGTCCCTAGCACATGAGTCCCTGCTGTCACATCACGGTGGCCCAGATGAGCCAGAAGGAAAGGCAGGGGTGTAAGAGAGGGAAGCACTGTCATTTTCTGGGGCCAAACCAGTAGGATCCTATGGTCTGGTACTTGCGAAGGGCAGCATAGCACAGTGAGTGAGCCTCATGGGGTCATTGAAGGAGAAGCTTCTGCAAAACTTTCCTGAGTAGCTTAAGAGATTTTTTTTTTTTAGTTTTTTTTTTTACACAATAGTAATAAATAGAACTTACCCATTCCTGAAGGCTTCTCTTCTTCCAAGCCAAACAAAAATTCATATTTGGCCTTGGCAACATTCTGGGCATGAGCTGATATGTCATTATCCCGCACAAGTGTTTCTGCCTAGAGTAAAAATAAACAAAGTTTATATACCTTTTAGTGAAAAACAGCAGAAGGAACATGAAATCCCTTCAGGCAGCATTTTTAAAGTATTCATTTCACTCTGTCACCACCAAGATCATACAGAGTAGACATGGGCCAACTCAGAGTGCTTTTGAAGAGCTCACCCCTCTGTCACTGAACCCAAGAATTTCAGTATTAAGAACAAAGACCTAACAGAGATGTGAGAGCAGCCAACCACTCTTTACACACTCTTTAGCCAGCTTACCCACTGAGAGGCCAGCAGCAGTGGCCAACTATCTCAATAATACTGGTTAGGGTTAAAAATATCAAGGGAATAGTATCAGAAATAGCAAATTTGAGTATGCATAAAACTGGAACTCATGGGAAAACCATAAATGGGGCAGGCTGTCTCTTTGAAAAGATAGTGGGGTAGAGAAAGTGAGGAGCAAGGACTACAACAAGGATGATTAAAAAGGGGAAGAAGGATAAGGTATGCAAACATGTATTTAGACAGGAGTACTGTCTAAGGGTCCCTGTTGGGCAGCCCATACATGACCACCACTGTCTAGGTCAGGAGAAGAGCCCAACTTGGTTTTACAACCATACCACACAAGTCAAACCTGCTTATCTGGCCAGGAGGCAGGGAGGGGACAGAGGGTGGTGAGCCCAGTAAGCAGGGGAACACCTGGTGGGGTGAATGGACAGACGGATTGAGCAACCTGTTCTACCCAAGCCTGGTGCCCCCAGCACCTTCCCACTGCTCCTTTCTTGTAAGAAACACTTTGACAGAGTAAAGGTCCAGTTTCTCAGAAGAGAGAAAAGCTACAGGATTAAGATCAAAATACTCTTCTAAACAGGTAGGGGCAAAACAAATCTCTAAGATAAAGCACACACCAGCAATAAACTGTAGTGCAAAAACTATCTAGAGTCAGCATTAAGTTTCTTCCCAGCTGGGCAAGATGGAGCCCGTAATTCTTCTGTTTGAAGTGACAGATAAAATAAATCACTAACTCTATAAATTCTTCAGTAAACTTTATATTCATATGAGGCAGTCAATTGCTCTGGCATAGCAAGCCATGGCATGGTTTACATTGGTGAAAGCATTAGCTTGCAAAAACACTCTTTAAAAAACAAATTTAAATGGAACATTCCGCCCCCCAGGACAACAATAACTTTTAAGTATTTCTATCAAATACCTCAGAATAAGCGTCAGATATAAACAGAAATTCAAAGTACAAGGGACATATAATTCACAGGAACACACAGTCACAGCTCTTTAATCAGAGATGGATGGAACCACAAATCCATATATTCCTCCTAGGCCATCTGTCCAACAATTGTATTTTCTTCCAGGAGCACACTGACAAATAGTTATCTTGTCCTATGCCCTAGAATGGTTTTGCTCCAGGTTCCCCTGGCCTTTTACACCCATTTCTTCTCCTACCTTTCTGCACTGTGCCAGTTCTGCAAGATTTAGTCCAACACCACTCTACCCTAAGTCAACAGCAGATCTTACACTGGGGTCTTGGACTAATGTATTTACCATTCACTAGACATTCACTAGTCCAACTACTCAGCACTAGGGCTTCAGTACACTGATGCACGTGCTAACACCAGCCTACCCAATCCTTTGGTAAAGATGTGATAGAACAGATAAAGGGATTTCTATCACAAAAATAACTATCACAAGCATGACAAAATGAGCTTGGAAGAAATCACCATGTCTGTCCTGCCCTTCCAGGCCTGCATTCATGCACTGGCAGGGAGGCAGGAAGGGCTAGAAAAGGAATAGCTGGAGCCAGACACAGGAGAAGGCTCTTTGTCTGCAACAGCTTAGACAGGAGTACCTTACACAGCCAGACAAAAATTCAGCCTACTCAGACGGATGTGAAGGGATGGGATGGCTAACAACTAGCTGGTGCCAAATCCCAGTGACAGATAAATGAAATGGAAAATAAAATGAACAGAACAGTCCAGTTCCTGAGCAGTAAAGAATTTCTGATCTATACCCCTCTGGGACACAGCTTCTCCATCCCTCAGCCTTGCTCTTTGAGATTTCACAGACATCTGCTACACTGAGTATCCCTGCCAGCAAACACATGTTCCAAGGATCTGTATTTGCCTGTACCTTACTGTAAAGCGAAGAAGAAAACTCCAGCTTACAGCACCTTCTGCATCATCCAGTAACAGTCACAAGTAAATTGTAAAATTAATGGGGTTTCAGTGTATAGGCCAACATTTATCAGAGTTAAGCGCCTAAACAGAGGCTACACGATCTTAGTCTTTGTATCTGAAAGGGGCAACTTGATTGTCAGAAGTGCTCAACGCTGCTGATGAAAATTACAGATACTGGCTTGTGTATGGGAACAGCTGTATTTAACATCTATTTAGGTTGTCAGAGCACTAAAAGGATGTATAAAGAAAGTCCATATCCAGGCTTAAAGGTTAGTTAATCATATTTCATCCAAACAAGACATATTAAAAAAGAATGGAAGAGCAGGAAAGAATGAGGATGCTCTGAGGTCAGCGCTAGTTTTTAAGACTATTGCTTTACCAATGTCCAAATCAAGATACAACATGCCTTCTCCTTTCCTTCTTTCAATCTACCACTCACCAAGCTTTGCAAGAGTCACAATGCCCTGAAACGAGGAGCCCAGAAATGGGCTGGACAAAAATTCATGGTGCTTTCAAGCTGCATTAGCAAAGATTAAATACAAGCAAGATTGAAAGGGATATAAAACTCCTGCTTAAGCCTTCTCTCTCAGCTCAAGGGCAAAGAAATCTGCATCCAGGTCAGCCATTTCATAATTGCTTCCCTCAGAGGGCTTTAACCACCACCTTTGAAGCATCTTGTCTTTGTCACTGCTGGACAGGGTGACACTTAAGAGCACCAATCCCCTTAAATCAGCCCAGCTGTACGTACATTTCTCATGAGCCATATAAGTATTATTTTTCAGTCCAGTGATGCTCTGGGCAGAGAGGCAGCAAGTGCCTACCCATTGGAGCATCATTCTTGCAGTGATTTCTACCTGTTTGAACATGTTTGATAAAGCCTACTTCTCTAGGTCATAGCTCTTGGTCAGGAGTTAGGAAGGCTGCATTTCCCTCTCAGTGAATTTTAGATAACATTTATGATGCTGCATTGGTTTGCATTTGGCAGTCCTCACCCCTCAGACCTCCTGCCAACACACTGGACCAGTTTCTATAGACCTCACACAAGGCACTGGCATGGGTCAACAGAGGTCCTACCTTGCTGACCTTCTGTTTCATGCTTAGGGAGCAGAGAGATTCTTTAGGATAAGCCCATGGTGCTTGTGGTGGTTTCAGGCCAGCACAGGAATGAAGCTGCTGAATCCGTGTCTCAGCAGTGAACTGAACAGCAGCAGGATGCTAAGACCACAGGGTACCTGCTTCTCCAGCAGGAGCTGCCAAGGACAGGTATGTCAGCCCAGCAAGTCTGGATGTGCAAATGGAGCAGCAGGTCAGTATCTGCAAGGAGAAACTGTTTCCACAATTCACTCTTGAGAGGTGTCTTTAACTCCTGAAGAGAGCTGGTTGCTGCCTTTCCTGAAACACAGTTTCGCTCTCTGGATGAATTTCATTTCAACTGGTAAGCTCCCCCCAAACTGCCCTCCAAAAATCCCAGTGGTTTTTAGATAGGTATAGCGAGTCATAAAAAGCTGAAGAAAATGCTTCTCATTTCTCCACAGAAGAAAACCACCAAAGCATCCTCTTTTGACTTTCACTGACATTCTGGTTGGGACCTTTCTTTGGGAACAACTGGTTTCGTCTTGGGGCCTTTTTTAGCATACTGTCTTGGGGTAAATGTTTCCTCCTAAGCTGTCTGAAACTAAGACACATACCTACATGTCAGAGAGCTTTAAGTGAAGAATATCAAACTCTTGCTATCTCACCACAATTTTCAGCTAAGCTGACAGGAGAGCTGGGCTTTGTCTCAGTGGAAGGGGATAACACTGTCCACAGCTGGTGGGACAAGCAATGGGTCAGTCTGAGCACAAAGAACCAGTGTGAACCCGTGCCTCCTGAAGCATTCAAACTTAAGGTCATATACTTTCTTCGAAAATGTCTAATAAGGAGGAAGTTTTCAAAGAAGCAGATAATTAAATGGCAACTTCCAGTCTGGTAATTTTTCAGACTCCCTGAGAGGACAGATGCTGTTAAGACAGACTCACTCCTTGCAGAAGACCTGGGAAAAGAGTGCATGAGAAAAAGCAGAACAGGATGGGTGCTCAAACATGAGTCTTCAGAGAGCAAGAGTCAGCCAAAATTCTGGACAGCAAGAGACCACTAAGGGGAAACATCAGCAGGAAGGGACCTAAGGACTGTTCATGAAGAACTGTTAGCCAGGACAGAGAGGTGAAAGCATTCTCAGGCATGTCTCCACAGCTAAGCCATAACATGAGGAAGCCTCAGTTTTACATGCTTTCGCATGTGCACAGCTCTGTTTCCCAGAACTTCCTGCCTACCCCCTCAGCCCCTACACTGGAGCGACTTTTAGAGGTTTCATTGAGGCTGCTGGGGAAATGCTGCAGTATTGCAAGAAAGCAGAAAAAAAGCCTTGAAGAATGCCTGTAAACTGTGTCAGTCTACTACGGAGAACTTCACAGCCACACCTGGACCATTTCTAGTCCCAGGCTGTGCTTGGTCCATTCTCATTGCTGCACCAACATCTCTAGCAGCAAAAAATTCAATTGCCTGTCAGCAGCCTTTCAAATACCCCAATACAGTGACTTTATGCTCTCTGCAGGAATGATGGACAGATGGTTCCCACAGATTTTAAAATCTTCTCCAGCAAACTGCAATGTCATGGGCAAGTCTTTACAGAATCCTGCATTGAGAGCTCTGCCTCTGCTGTCGCATCATCCCTGAGTGGCCAAGAGCTCAGCAAGCTTCACTGTTTTTGATAGGTCATATCAATTGTTCTGAAAAGACTATGCCTGTTGAGCTTGTCTTAAATCACTTTCCTAACAGGAAAAGTA